CGTAGTTGGGGTCAGCAAATGCACATCATACACACACACACACGCATACTCACATATATATATCTCCGACCTGAAAGTGTTTGGCAAATTTAATTAAAATTTCATTGCCCACACATACACACACATACACACACGCACTAACACACTCTATGAATTGAATACCCAAACCCATTTCCATCGCCAGCCAAGGCGGCACACCCACTGCTGCCCACGGTTCCACTCCCTGCTCTCTGCTGATGCCATGACGATTAGATTTTATTAAAAAGCCAAATATGCACAATTATTATGCTACGCCAACCACTTGACAGTCATGAGTCCATGAGCCTTAATATATACGAGATGTGCCGCACCCTGCCCAGCTGGCCGACACTACCAAGCGCCCAGCCGCCCTGCCACTCAGCCGCCCGCCCGCCCTTCCGCCCGGCCATTAACATTAACCATACCCCTCGGCTGTCTGTCGCTGCTGTCTGCGGTGTCCTGCCGTCGTTCATGGAGCGCACAATTCGCTTATTTGCTTTTTAATAAAACAGGTGCTCGACCTTCAGCGTTGACGGCGCGTAAATGAGGGGCGGTAAAAGGGCCAAGGGCGAAATCTGCGGGGTGAGGGCTGAGGGGTTGATATTTCCCATTCTGTGCGCTCCCTTTTTGGACGAAGCATACGCTTTGTGTGCGTATGTCCTTGCTATCTTTTATCATTTAATTTCGCATTCAAACGTTTCGCACCCTCAGCAGCATCATCAAAAGGATGCAGAAAGGATCACGCACACAGGACACAGTCAAAGTCATGCCACTGCCACTCCCAGGGCCTCCCGCTCCGGCCTCCGCCTCCACTTTTGCCCAGCCTTTGGGAAATGCGTGCGGTCGTCACTCGACCCTGGCAATGTTGTCATTTTTCATTTTGCGCAGCGCCCCCGAAAAATTTGTATATGTCGAAAAGTCCAACATTCCGAGCAGGACCAGAATCATCATCATTATCAGCAGCAGCATCATCATCATTGTCAACATTATCATCATCATCATCAGCAGCAGCAGCAGCAACTCGAAATTTCGCCTCAGCATCTTGATGCTGGCTGCTGATCCGGCAATTAGGCCAAGCGTAAAGCGTGCGCAACTATTGAAGAGGACGGGCCCAGTCCTGGCCAGGACCAAGCAGCAAGACATTGACGACTGCCAGCAAAGGACGAGCCAGCCGAGGGGTTGTTCCTTGTTTGCCTGCTTGCTTGCTTCACTGGCTGGTCTATCCGCTGGCTGTGCGTGTCCTCCAAATCGTTTTGTGATTGCTAAAAGCTGTCGTTGGACTTTATTGGTTTCCTGCCACAAGATTTCATCTACACTGAGAGAACAGGAGAAGTTTTAGCAATTCACTTGGAATACTTGAAAATATTAAGAGCACAGACGAATTTTAGTTTTGTAAATATAGAGTTAAGTTTATGTTGAGCTATAAATACAACGAAATAAACACAAATTAATCGATCTTAATTAATGGTACAGGAAGAATGAGGCGTGACACATCCCATAAAGTTTCTAGGTAAGCGGAATCCTATGTATGAATTCTCCCTAAAAAAATGCGAATAAAGACTATAAATTGTTTTTGTAGAAAAAAAAAAAAACACCGACTATTTCTGTTTTATTTAAATATTTTTTATTTATTTATTCACATTAAACTAAAAATATTTTTCTCATGTGTCCTAATATGTATTACAATTGTAATGCAGAATTTATTTTCTATTTTAACCAATCTATTAAATTGCACTATATTTATTATATTGAATTTTTGCATTAGTTTTTTAATTTAAAATAAAATGAATTTCGAGTATGGTAAAGCATTTTAGACGTAATATAATAGCATTTTAGAAATATACCAAATTTATGTGACTGTCTCGAAAGTTCTACTCTGAAGTGCTCAACTAGGAGCTAAAATTTCAATCATCTCTAATCAGAAGTGTTCCTTTCCTTAATTCCTTGCTTTACTCCCTCCTTCCTTCATAACATCTTATATATGATTATTCTTTATTAAGTCTAATCAAAAATCATCGCTAATTTGAAGACAGACAAATGGATTCTAGATCGAACCTGTAGTTACACCCCATCTAAATAACCCCATAAAAATATTTACACATATATTTACATCCGTGCAATTTGCATTTAATTACTTCAATTAAGCCATCTTTAAAAACTGCCAGCGCAATTTCGCACAGTGTAGGAGCGTGCGTATTGTGCCAGTATTTTGGACTATCATTTCTATTATCAAAAGTCATTGACACCCTTTTATTTATTTTTACATTTATTGTTTTTCTGCTTCATACATTTATCTGGGCGATAATCGCTTACATGCCACTTGTGCGGCATGAAGGGCAGGAGAGCAAGAGCAGGAGGAGGAGCAGCAGCAGGAGCAGGAGCAGCAGCAGGAGCAGGAGCTGAACTTGGGCAAGGGAAATGAGAACAATGCCGTGAAATAAGGATTAATGGTGTACACGATTATTTGTGCCTGGCGACAGACAGTCGGACAGACAGACAAACATATTAAAAAATACAATACGAAAACTGTCGCGAGGGCGCAAGATACGGCTGCGGATGCGAATGCGGCTGAGGATGAGGACATCAGGGCGTAAGGACATCAGGCAGTGGCAGTGGCAGTGCGCGCATATTCATGGCATGGCGTAGGTCGAATTTAATAAAACGTCCCTGCGCGGCAACAACTTTGGCTGCGAGTGTGCACTTGCCTGATTTCTAGCTGGTGGGGGGAGGGAGAGGGGGGGGGAGAGAGAGAAAGAGAGTGGGGGTGGCTTGGGTGGTTGGACTGTTTTGTTGTTGTCGTTGTTTCGCCACGCTTCTGGTTGGCTGAGTGTGTTTTTTTTTTTTTTTTTTTTTGGATGGGCTGCGCACAATTGTTTTTGCTGCTTGGGGTTTCCTTTATTTGGATGATGAAGAATTTATTTGAAAATTAAGAAGACAAATTATTTAATTTCGACTTTATGAGCTTCGCCCCTACCCACCAGGCCAGTTTGCCAGCTGGCAGCTGCCTGCTGCCTGCTGCCTGCCTATAGCACTTTAATCTCCATGCCTGTGCTTAAAGGAAATCAGCGACCACTTCTCGGACTCGAGCGAAGTTCTTGGAAAAGGGTTTGCGACTGGGCGGCAACACGGCGTCGGCCATTTTGTGCCATTTGATAGGGCTATGAGCTGAGTGAACGCGTTTTGCATTTTATGCCCCGTTCTTGGTAATAAACACGCAGCAAACGCGAGTGCGAGTCGGCAAGGGTTATGGAGGGGCCTCGGGCCGTGGCTTGGACTCTTGGCACGAGCACGTCAGAAACTTAATTTCGTTTAGTTTTATGTACATTTCATTAAGCAAAAAATTTCTAGCGACGCGACAGACCACGGGCCATGCCAATGGCTGAAGCACTCGCTGACTCGCTCTCTCTCTCCCTCTCTCTCTCTCTCTCTCTCTCCCTCGCACGCTCTGGCTCTGACTCGGTTATACAATGTATGCCACAATTGTGACCCTGCGACCCCGTGTCCTATACGTCCTGCGAAGGACTTAGACTTGAGCGAAGGGACAATCAAGATAAATAGCAAGCGGAATTTTTATTGCCGAAAGGATACGAATGAAAATAAAGAACAACAACAAAAAACAGCTTATAGTTAGTTACAACAACAATAACAACAACAATAAAAAAAAGAGTTGAAAGTGTTGACGTGACGGCGACTATGTCCTCGAGGTCTCACACAAACACACACACACGCACACATGAATACACACATGGGCACTTGAACAACCACCCCGCACACACCTTTATGTGGAAAATTGTCAGCATGTTTTGTATTTTCCAAATTTATTGCCACTTGCAACATTTTGTAGACGGTCAGACCATAGATTATCTCGTCGTTTAGAGCCTAATATGCACCAGAGGCAGCCGCAATATGATTTATCACCGACCAGCCGATATATGATCGCCTCTATGTGTGTGTGTGTGTGTGTGTGTTTGTTTACGGATGCCACAGAGACTCCGCTTAGCCCTCGACAGTGCCACTCCAGCTGCGAAGCGCAACATTTTTAATTACACTTTTTACAAGAAAATTAAATGGCAACATGTCATCGCTAATTAAATTGTTCTTCTTTCGTTTGTTATTTTATTGCTCCTGTTGTTATCCTGTCTGAAATGTGTGAGCGTATGTGTGTGTGTGCGCGAAGGAAAGGGTTGTGCCAGATAGCAGCGTTGATAGGGTTTAGGGAAAATACATTCATCAAAATGAGTTCTATTTACGTGCATATTTGTTCAACTGATGAGGACATCAATGGAAATTATGCAAAAGGAGTTGAATTTATTACTGTGAAGTGACATGTACAAATATTTTCATTTGCATTTAATTTTTTTTTTTTTTTTTTTCAATTTAAATTGCTAATTTTAACTTTTATTCTTAGTAAAATTATTTTTTATTTAGTTTTAAATTTAATTTAAGTTAAATAGGGAAATCATTCAAATTTCGCGCTTTATATGCGCAAGCTTAGAATTGGCAAATACAACTCTGCAAAAGCCTTCGGCTTGCAACGTTGTCTGGCTATTTTTTGCAAATTAAAAAATACCTTAGTATTTTTCTTAGTCACTTAACAAACAGAGCTGCCAGACATTTTAAATTTTGCACCAAGCTCGGCGCACTTTGTTGAATTTCAACTACTAAAATAAATTACAAGAAGCTTGCAACGGCTCTTATATTTTTTTTAAGTAAAACAATTTTTTCTGTTGTGATGAGATTTGGAATTTGTTCAACAATAAATATATATATATATAATTTAAAAACAGTGTATGACTATTTTTTGACATTTTTTTTTTGTGTTATTTTAAATTATGGGAAAAAGTCGAGTTGAATTTTTAATACGACTCTCTGCCGCAAAATGCTGCACGCCATCTAAATACTTAACTTTAAAAGGCAGCCAAGCTCACAATAATCTCACCGCCTCTGAAAAGAAAGAAGCAAACATTTATAAGACAATAAGATCCAAAAATATAATTTATTAAAAAAAAACCAACTAATGATAAGGGTGCAGTAACAAAAATTTTAATTGCTTCATACGTTCTAGTATCTCTGGGCGTATCACAGTCTGCACATCACTTTTTGGCTTTATTTTTTCCTTTTCTTGCTCACAGATGGCGCTGCAGGCGGCCCATTCGCGTGTCTCGTTCTCGAACTCCAGGCGGAAACGGACAAAGGGCGGCGCCACACGCATAAACATGTATAGGACGCGCGTACGCAAATCTTCCGTGGAGTCCGCGCGCAATGGCTTGCGGCAGTTATAGCAGAATTCGTCCATATCACGCAGCAGATGCTCCAGATCGGCCCGCAAGCTGGCCGTGCACCGCGAGAACAGGATCTGCAGCAGCGGACCGGTGACATTGCAGAGGCGCCCATTGACGGAGATCAATGCCTGCTGATATGGGCTGCCCACGGACAGGCTGTTGATGTGATACCTGCTTATTTGGGCCTTAGTGAGCGAACTGAAGGCCATGTACCGTTCCAAGGATCTAAACACAACGTTTATGCGTTTCTTCTCCATCAACGCAGCACTATTATTCTTATTGCTATCACTAATCTCTTCTACATTTACCTTGCGCTGATTGATGTATGGTGCATCCAGCAGATTTTGCAGCTGCGACGACTCCATCAGTGTATTGTCGGTGGCAAGCGCCTGCGAGACGCTTTGCGGCTCGGATTGAAGCGGCACCTGTTGCACTTGACTGGAGGTTACCAGTTGCTGCTCTTCCTCCGCTTCCCCATCCTTATTTACATGGAGCATTAAGCCATCCGGCTCGATGCGGACCATAGCGGCCACTGGCAAGGGGCGAAATTCGTGTCTTAGCTGCGGCACGTTGTCGGGCATAATGCAACGTGTTTTTTTCCTAATCTGGACTTGTGTCTGTTTCTTGGCGGGCACGGACTGTACTGGCAGAGCTGGAGCGGGTTCCTCGGCTTGCTGGGCATTTGTATCTTTAACTGTTTCTTCAGGCTGTGGAGCAGGCAGTTGGCTCTCTGCTGTAAGAGGCGGATTCAGTTCATCGTCCAACCGATGCACCTCTGCCAGTAAATTTTGATATGAATCTGAGGTGTTCGGACAGGATGACGGCAGCACATTGTCAACGATCGAATTGCTTATCTCAAGGCAAGCCAATTCTTCTGAACGCTTCTCCTCATCAGTGTCCAAATTGATGACTTGATCCTCGGAGGCGATAAGTTCGCAATTGAAGGTATCGCTCGAATTGTCGCTATGCAGCGAGAAGCGCATCATGTTGAGGAACTTGATAGGCTCAGTCTTGACTTGAACTTCACTCTTCTCCGCAGGGACTAGATTACTTTGATTGAGTGGATCGTTTTGGGTCTCTATTTCCATTGCCTGGGAGGCGGGCTGCACATTTTGCATGTCCACAAAGCAAGGTGGACTTGGAGACACATCAAGTTGTGTGGGTGGACAAGTGGATGATTGCGATGCTTCTGAAATGGGATAAATATTTACTAGCTTAATGCACGCCTTAGTCGCAATCGCATCATTCAATTCCGACTTACCTATAGCCTCCTCAGGCGTCTCAGGTACAGTTGCACCCGTTTGATCAGACGGAGTTGAATTGATCTCTTCTTGTCGCTCCTCTGAGCTTTGCGATGATATGACCTGAACGGGGGATGAGCTCTGCGCCATGCAGAGCGGCACTAAAACGAGATGCATTTAAAATCTCATAAACTACGCTTCGAGACATTCACCACTTACATGTGGCAGGTGGAGTTGTTTCCTCCATTGGCATATTATCCGTCCAGTTAATGGAGTGGGCCAGCTCCTCTGTTATCTGTGGCACTTGGTGCAGCCAGCGATCCTGGGACCAGCACATGGCATAAAACTTCTTCGCCTCACTGAACAGGTCCTGCAAATTAGCGATTTCATGGCCGGTGCGTGCATGGAAACTGCGCTGAACAATCTCATCGAAGTTTGTGAAGTGGATTAGGTCCTCCCGGTGCAGCATCTTGGGTGACAATTGGCCCAAGTCAAGGGAGTTCAACTTAACGCCTTTCTTCTGCAACAGCTGCGGCAGCAATCGCAGCTTCACGTAGAAATTAGTGGGCCAATTGCCCCTGGACAGCACAAAGTAATAGCACAAGGACAAAATGATGTCATCCTCATATAACGAGGCTGCTCCATATATGCTCGTATATAGCTTAAACTCCGTATAAGTCAGATGGGAGAGTATGCGCCAGATGGTGTTCTTGAGGCCGCGGCTTGTGCAGAGCAGGTATTTCATGTTGTGCACCTGGAATATGGAATTTGAAATTGTGGTTAGCTCTCACTAGCCTACACTAAGTCCCGTTTTATCTACCTTCTCGACGGGGGTAAAGAACTCCTCGACTGCCTCCAGTGCACTGGTAGGTACCATGACTTCTTTAGATAGTGCCGGGTTGATCGATTGCAGATGCAGATCTTCAGCCATTTCTTCAGCTACCTTGGAAGCTGCTGTTGAAGCTTGTGGCGCTGCTTTGTTCACTGCAACCGAGGCTTTTGCCTTCTGCAGCGCAATTCCACTCGATGTTGTAGTGGATGATGATGCATTATCCTCGGGCTTCTCAGTAACGGCTTTGGTGAGGTCCATTACAACTTTGGTAAAGATATCAGTATTTGTTGCCTCACTGGTGGCAGTGGTTGTTGACTCTGCAGCAGCTGCTGTTGCAGCTGACCCGCCAATCTCTGTTGCTGCATTTGCATTTGAAACTATTTTTGTTGTTCTTATGGTCTCAGCTGTCTCTGCAATTGTTGTTGTTGTTGTTGTTGCCGTAACGGTTTTCGTTTTATTTATTATTATTGTTGTTGTTGTGCTCGACTCCGACTCAAAAGTCTCTTTGGCTGCAGTCGCCTCTCGTACTGCTGCAGCGCTCCTCACAGCAGCGGCTGCCTTCTCATAGGTCTCCAGGCTTCTCCATACAATCTCTATATTTTGCCTCTGTTCGTCTGTTTGCTTGCCGGCAAAGTGTTCCGACAACAGATCGCACTTCCTGGGGCACCTCGCTGCTCGCTTGTCTATGTAGACCTTCAAATTGTAGGGCGCGTACCTAACCATATTCAATTTAGTCATACTGCAAATGTTGGAGATTAGCTGGTTTAAAGATTTTGCAATGAAGAACTCACCTGTGAAGCTTCGCTCTCCTAGCTGCATACACAGCAGCCGAGCCTTGGGTGCTCTCACGGTTCCCTGATGCCGCACTGGACTCGGACGCTAGAGACTTCAAAGGCAGCTGCAGCAATTTGGCTTTTAGCAGTGACGGACAAGGCTTAAAGGTGCATTTGTATTTCTCGCGAATTTCCGGGGTGCGATAGAATGCCTCGTAGTAGGCGAGCATACAATCGTGAGCCGTTGCTTTGGCATACTGCGGCTCCTGCTGCATTTGCCGCACAACCTCGTCCAGGTTCAACGTTTTGGAGAATATATTGAAGGAGACAGGAAATGTAATCGCAGGACTCGACTGCGGCTGTGGCAGTGCCTCCTTCACCTGGTCCACTTGTAACTCAATGCGTGGCAATAACATCTGCTCCGCTTGTGACTCGCCAACGGGAGATCCACTTGTGTCCTCGGCCTCTGTCGGCTTTGGGCTGCACTGCACCGCGAATCCCAGCAGTTTCTCTTGCAGCTCAGCAGGTGCGGCATTGAAGTTATAGTTGCACAATTTGCGGACACGCGGATCGATGTAGAACGAGTGATAGAAGCGGCGCAGCAATATCAGATCGTAACGCTCCTCGCGGAGAATTTTCTCAACTTTTTGCTTATCCTTCGAAAACGAATTCGCCAGCTCAATTCTTACTGTGTCATAGTTGATGCAGCGCTTGAAGGTTTGCAGCGAGACTGGAAATTCATAAGTTTTGCCCTCTAGATACACCAAAGTTTTATCATCTTGCACCGAGACATTCTTATTTTTATTGCGCTCATTCACATTGCAGTCTATTTGGGTGATTCCAGGTGCTGCAGGTGTTCCAATATGTTCCCCCTGCTCAGAGTTTTTTGACTCGGCTTCTTGCAAGTCGAGCTGTTTTGATTCGGCGGCTTCTACTGCACCAGAGTGCTCCATCTCAGTTGCCGAGCTAGCAGCGTTCAGCTGCAGAAATTTCTCTCGAAGTTTACTCGGACATGGTTTGAGCTCGTATGCATATTTTCCCCGAACTTCTGGTTTTGTATAGAACTCTATATAGTATTCGAATGCGCATTCATCCTCTGACATGTCTTTGTGCTGCCCATCGCTAATCATGCATTTTACAATCTCCTCCAGATTCCGAATGTTTCGCTTAAACAATTTGAATGTAACGGGCAACGTTTTAGCTATTTCTTCGAGTTGCTCCTGCTTCTTCTTCTTGTTCTCCGAGGCATACTCATCTGCGGCCTGTGCCATCTGCTGCTTGGCCATCTCATCCAGAGGCTCTGCATATTCCAATAGCTTCTCCAATAGCCCAGCACTTACATTGGCAAATCGGTATTCGTATAAGTCGCGTGTGCTCGGACGTACATAAAACGAACGATAATATCGTTTCAATATCTTATGGCACTGCGGATGCATCGGACTTGTCATAGCTGCCAGCTCCTCCTCGTCCTGTGTCAAGCGCAGGAGCAATGGCCTCAGCAGCTCCTGGTGGTTGATGCAGCGCATAAAAGTGTCGAACGAAACAGGAAACTTGAAACGGCCACAACTGCAAAAGCAGGAGTAATAATTGTATATATAGAATATTAATGAACGAACAAGATTTAGTTTCTTCATACCTGCCCAGATCCTCTACGACGTCCAGCTCGCAATCAGCGGTACTAATTTCTGTGCAACTGAAATTTGAGATAATTAAAAAATATAATTTGTTATATATTTATTATAAATTACCCAGTATTTGTGTTTATATCGTGCTCTGGTGTATCCTCAGCTTCCATGGCTTCGCATAGCTCATTCAATGGCCTGCAACGGAATTGCCATTAGAGATTCGCTTAAGAAAGTCAATTAAGATTTACAAACTTACGATTTCTCCACCTCCCTCCTCTGCACAGGCTCGGCCAGCTGCATTAGTTGTTTCCTCAGCTCAAGTGGAGCGGCATCAAAATTGTATTTGAATTGTTCTCGCACTCTCGGATCGGTATAAAATAAATAGTAGAAGTGTTTCAACAACTGCTCATTGGAGGGACATTCGTTAGCCAGTCCCTTTTCCATTTCATATGTGAGGGCGAGCTGTTTACCCAGTTCCTCGTAATTGATATATTTAACGAATGTCTCGAAGCTAATCTGGAACTCGTAGGTGATGTCGTCAACTGTTACCAATTTACGTTCGGCAGCAAGCAATGCATTGCCCTTATCGATTGCTGGGATGTCAGCCAACAGATCAACCTCGCCTGGCAGCGATAGCAACTTCTCACGTACTCTGCCCGGGCAGGGTTTCACCTGGTATTTGAACTGTTTACGTATTTCTGGATCCCAATAGAATCTATTGTAGTATTCCAGCGCACATTCATCTGCAGTTCTGCCGTTGTACTCCCCAGAATACAGCATCTGTTGGACAATGTCGTCCAGATTTCGGATGTAGCGCTTGAACAACTTGAAGCTAACCGGTGGCACAATCTCCGACCATTTGTCTCCTACAAGTTTGGCTGGTGGCAAGATCTCTTGCTGCTGCTCCTGCCTGGTTGGGAAGACCTCTTGCAGATGCTCCTCTCCAGATGGCACGACGTCCGGTAGATGCTCCTCTACGGCGCCAGGAGGCGACTCATGCCTGAATATACACCATTATTATTATTATTATTATAAATTACAATAGATATTTCAGCACTTACTCTGCGCTTGCCCCTGCAACCTCTTCATCTAATTCAGCTGGTGATGTCGGCTGAGGGACTTCAGTATCCTGTTCAATTGGTTGCGATGTAGACACTCGCCGTCCTTTAGTTTTCATTTGCAGCAACGTCTTTCTATCCTCTGGACTGGGCACGGAGAGTATTCGATTTTTCATTGCAGTTGTGCAGGGCGCCAGGACATAAGGATATTTCTCGCGTATCTCGGGAGTCAGATAGAAGGCAAAGTAATACTCATAGGCGCAGTCCTCGAAGCCCTTGTAGGAGTAGTCAGGATCGTTCAGCTTCAGCCGCCACACAATGTCGTATATATTGATAATGTATTTCTCAAACTCATTGAAGCTCACAATTGAGAGGTTGTAGGGAGTCCTTGGAACGGGAGGTTTGCCCTGTGGACTTCTTCCTACCTTGGCCTTAAAGTTTGGTGATGTAGGCAAGCGCGATTTCCTGCAACAAAAAATGTTCGTTAGGTTTACATTTGGGAATGGGTTAGATAGACGGCAGTGGCCGGCTAGAAGATACCCTATGTAAACAATTTATTGTTCAGAATTTAATTTTTAATTTCGGATTTTTTTAATTTTTGTTAAAAATAATATGAACCTACATCGAATATCTGGGTTTTCGTGCTGCCATTTTTTCCAATTTAAAATATATAATGTTTATATAACAGAGTTCTAGGACGTAATGAGGAAAATATTATAAGCTTGCACAGTACAAGCAAATATATGAAATATATTTTTAAAATCTCAAGTACCTAGAGTTTATAGTCATTCAGACGGACGGACGGACAAACAATCAAGTCTGGCTAGAGCGACTCAGTTCGTTGTTCGGCTAAATCTGTGCATCCTATGAGACTAGTTAAGCATTCTCATTCCACATGTCAACTAAACGAGAAAAACGTACTGTGATTTCATCTGCATCGTCTTTACGGCCAGCTCGTCCAAGGGCACGCCCATTTTAAGCAGCTGCTGCCTTAGAGCTGCGGGCGCCGTCTCGAATTTACATATTTCCATGTGGCGCCGACTCGAATTGATGTAGAATGAATTATAGTATTTGCGCAATAGCTTACGGCACACATCCTTGTCGAGCAAGAGCTCAGCTCGCTTCGTCTTACTCTTGGTCTCCTTGCGCACAAGCATATTGAGTAATTCGGTCTTATGGATGTAACGCTCAAACGTGGCTAACGAAACGGGAAACAGGAATCGGCCGGCTCTGTGCATGGGAAATATATGTTATATGTGATATATTTACTGATCGACTCTTCCACTCACCTATTTACTGTGACCTCATAGCCATCCTCGGTTGAGGCTCGGCCAATGTCGTTTGATTCCGAGAACTCATCGGACGAACCAGCCGTGCTGCCCTGCAGCAACTTCTGCTTGACGCGCAGCGGACAGGATCTCAGCTTGTATTCATATTTCGTTCTTATCGTGGGTTCACTGTAGAAGGTATTGTAATACCAGAGCGCGCACTCATCCAAGGATTTGTTTGCAGCGCCGGGCTCATTGCACTGAATTTGAAATGCTATGTCCGGCAGGTTTTCCACTACTTTGCTAAATACACTAAATGGAACTGGCGGAGTGCTGCAAAACAACCATATATTAATAGCTTAAATAGCTTCTCATTCGTGTATTATTTACCTGTCATTTTTCTTTTTATCTGTTAACCACTTGCGCATCTGCTCGGACGCCCTGGGGTCACATTTCACCTTTTTCTTTTTGCGTGTACTAGTCATTATTATTTTTGGTTTGGGCTATTGAAAAGTGTGCATTTGATGTGTTAATGTCAAGTTTTAAAAGACGCAAATAAAAATTCGCGCTTGTTTCCTAGGAGCAATCTGCAGTGTTGCTACGGTGTGACCAAGTTTGTTAAAAAAAAATACAAAAATCGACACTGTGTGCCTGTCTAGACATGTCCATTTTAATTGACATAAGACATAGATGGCGCTTTGCACAATGAAAATAACATTTATAAACGAATTATATACGAAATCTCTAAAAACGGGTTTTTTCTTTTCAATATAATTAAAAATCATATGCTTATATCGGATTATTTTATTTGCCTAATGCAATGTATAATAAATAATACACTGACTTATTGTATATATAATGTAGTCCCTCCCAGCTATCAACCCTAAAACTAATTCAGTTATAATCAAAACATAATCGTACTCTAATTATCAATCGGCCTGAGATATATTTTGAGCCGCGCTGATCAGTGTGTCGTGGATATCCTTGGCCGACTGCACGTGAACACGCACCGTGTTTAGATAAGTGGGATATGGAATGGGCCCAGCCGGATTGTCCTGCATAAAGTTGTCCATTCGCATGGCCGTCACAGCTCCGGGCAAATAATGCTGGGATGAGGTCAGCTGCTGCATGCACTGGATGGCCGTTTTGAGATGTAGTTCCATTTGATCGCAGCACGCGTAAAAGTCCTCCAGGTGCTTGTCAAAGCGGGGCACATGACCATGACCGCCTGTGTCCCGCTTGAGATTGTCCGCCAAATTGTTTTGCTGCAGCGTGAAAGCACTGGAACGAATGGTTAGGAACATTGACTCTCGCAGTGGCCCCAGCAGACTCTTCACTCTCGATATGTTGTCTAGCTTTTCGGCTTGTTGCTGCTGTTGTTGCTGTTGCTGTTGTTGTTGCTGCTGCTGTTGTTGTTGTTGATGTTGCTGCTGCTGCTGCATTGGCACTGGGCCGGGCGGCCCGGTGGGCATCATTGGCTGCGGCGATGACTGCATCATGGGCGAGACTTGCATCATGGGAGGTCCAGACATTTGCATCATATTCATATTGGGATTCATTTTGTATATTTACTATAAAGAAAGTCAAAAAAGTGCACGATTTTCACAACAAATTCGACTCAGCACGAATTTATCTCTGAACTAAGTTATCGACTACTAAGACTGTAATATCGGCTTGGTATTTTTCGTGTTTGGTCACACCTCCACATAATTTTAGCAGCTGTTTTCTGTTGTCGATAATAAATATATTTCCTATCGATGACAGCATTAAAATAATTTATCAAGATAGTAGACTCTATTCTAATTTAACAATTTATTCTACTAAAAATTTACGCGCAAAGCGCATTGTTAACGTCTAAGTAATATTGTGAACAAAAACTATGACTAGGTAAGTTAATGGTGTTCTGTCTTACAAAAAGCACAGCTAAAGGCGCCGAAACCCTAACCTAAAAATACATATACGAGAAAGAAATGTATCATCGTGCGGCCGAACGCTTTTTCGCAGATCCAGCATCGAATTGGGCGACGTAACGCCGCACAACATAAAACAACTGAAGAAACTCAACACGGTTGTCTTTCCCGTCTCCTACAATGACAAATTCTACGTGGACGTGCTGGAAGCCGGCGAACTGGCCAAGCTCGCCTACTATAACGACATCGTCGTGGGCGCCGTCTGCTGTCGCATCGACACCACGGACAACAAACGACGCCTCTACATCATGACACTGGGCTGCCTCTCGCCGTACCGTCGCCTGGGCATCGGCACCATCATGTTCGAGCACATACTGAACTATGCCGAAAAGGATGGCAACTTCGACAGCATCTTTCTGTGAGTGGATAGCAAGTGTGTGTGAACTCTGATCCTTTATTGTATTATCTTCAATCCATCCTCCTTGGCAGGCACGTGCAAATCAACAACGATGGCGCCATCGAGTTCTACAAGAAGTTTGGCTTCGAGATTGTCGACACCAAAGAGCAGTACTACAAACGCATCGAGCCAGCGGATGCGCACGTCCTGCAGAAGACGCTGCGCCGCAAGAAATCCGATTCACACAATCATGCATTTAGCAATGGAGCTGTGGGCGACAAGAAGGAGCGTCGAACCTGAAAGGGGGCTACTTTTGTGACATGTGGCCCAATCCTTACTCCCAAGCCTCACCATCACCAGGATTCAAGGACAAACGGAAAAACTTATTTAGTTTAAAACAAATTTCATAATTGAATAAAATCCTAGAGTTAAACAAAAGCTGCTCAGTAAAACAAGGGAAGAAGAAGAAGAAGAGAAGAGCTAGAAGTAAAACACGCCTTAGATAGACGACACTAAGTAAACCCCAAATTGGCTTAATATGTTTTTAATTAACAAAAACATGATCTTATCAAATCAGGCCATTAACTTGGCCTAATCAATCAAATGCGCGTGTGGCAGGCGAGTGGCATCCGTAGCTTCAGTTAGTCCATGCAACATGCAGCAACCGAGCACACGTCGAGGCGATGGCTTCGTCTATTGCTACGACAGCCTGTACAGGCTGCTCTTCTACCTGGGCATCCTCACGTTCCGGCTGCACAACCAGAGCGAGGGCGGACCGAGGTCGACGCGGCTGCGCGTTCTCTATGCACTGGCGGCACGCGCCGCCATCCTGCTGGGATTTGTGGGCGGGGTTTACGTCAAGCTGACCGATCCCCAGATGTCGCAGGCCATGTTCAGCCAGCTCTCGCCGCTGTTCAAGATCATCTTCTCCTGGGAGTGCATCTCGTGCTTCCTTACCTACGTGGAGCACTGCTTGTCCATGGATGCGTATTGCTCGAAACACATTGGTCTGCTGGCCAGCATGCAGCTGCTGGATACTGATATCTCAGCCGAGTTCCCGCATGTCCAGTGGCGCTATAATCGCACCCGCTCCAAGTACTGGTACGGCTCATCTCTGGTCTTCTGCCTGTATGTGGCGATATCCTTGGCGTTGATGTTCGACACGATGCAATGCAGCTGCGGCTACGTGTCCACCATACTCATCGCTAGCACCTACTCCATGCTGACCTCCATGCTGGGCACGATGGGCTTTATACACATCGCCCTCATGGACTACCTGCGCATACGCTTTCGCCTCATCATGAAGCTGGTGGAGCAGCAGTACGCGAAGGCAGACACCTCAGCCAAGGCCAATGAGGAGCAGCTGCAGCACATGGATCATTTGTTTGAGTTCACCAAGCGCTGCTCCCGTCTGCTGGACGTGATGAACGTTGTGTGCGGATATATCAGCGCTGCCGGCATCTTCTACGACTTCACTCACATGACCTGCTTTGTGTATATGCTCTGCCACAAGCTGCTCCTCCGAGAGTCATGGGACACCCAGTACACATTCGTATCGCTGCATCTGGTGGTTCACATCTACAAACTGCTCATGACCAGCGTCTATGGCTACCTGCTGCAGCGAGAGGTAAGAGTGATTTCCTTTCAGCTGTACGAGCACATCGTGTCAATTTCCCTAATCCCCTCCAGAAACGCAACTGCCTCCAGCTGCTCAGCAACTATGCCCATCACTTTGGCAACCAGGCAACGCTTAAAAATGCAGTTGAATCCTTCCAGCTCTGGCGTATGCAGAACAACGATTCGGCTCTCATTGGCTACAGCTTCCCTTGCAACATATCGCTAAACTATTTGGTAAGCACTCTAGCAACATTGTATATACTCATTTACGAAAACAAAACACAGCAACATATCTAAGCTAATCAAAAAGAGCCCAGCTTCATTGTCTTTATCGAGTTTTGAAAATGTATTTGCATCTATATAACTTTGCATGTATTTTAGGTTTTCAACGCTTTGGCTAACTATGTTATTGTTCTAGTGCAATTGCTCTTTCAGCTTCAGCTTAAGGATAAACAAGGTCAGCCGATTCGCATACCCAAGGATGTTGAGTTGTTGAAGCCTATTGGACAGCATACGCATCTTAGCAATGCAATATAATTTTTTTTTTAATTCAACAATTCACTAGTCTTGCTATTGCAAAAGAATTAATTTAATATATACATTCGAAACATTGCCGTTAGTGCATTTAACTCATGTTCTAAATGCAGAATGACAAAGCTTTCGCATGCGCGCAAATGCACTAAATTTGAACTAAAAAACCGAAAAATACCTAAAGTGAATAAGCTCTTTCAGTTTATGTGTGCATATGCATACCAAAATACTAAAAGTGTACATATGTATATGCTGCTTTAGTCTCTTTTTGCATGCACTTAATACCTACATATATGTTTTTTTTGCATGCAACTAGGTATACCATATAAATATACTAAAATAAGTCAACTTTGTAATCGAGTCTATAGATAAGTTCAAATGTTGGCGCCAAATAGGGCTGGAAAATACTTAGCTAAGTGCTCAAGGACTACAAAAAAATAATGCAAGAGCGTAAAAGAAGTTTTTTTGTTTTATTAAAATAAAAATGTATCTGATACAAAAAGTAAAAACTTGTATACTGCAATATCTCCATGTTCTTAAAATTCCCGAAGAGATTCATTTGACGATTCCATATATATGGCAAATGACCCTCGTAAAAGGCTTCGCAAAGCTCGTACAGCATCTATGTAGACAGGACCAAAACAAATCAGTCAACCAAGCAATTAATCTAATCTTAGTCCGAGTGCTTACCTGCAAGAAGAGGTCACTAACTGACATATAGAATAGGGTCTGGTAGCCCATACGCGTGGATAGCCAAATGGCCAGGTTAACAAAGTGAGTGCAGCGCAGCTTTGGCAAATTCTTTGAGGTGCGGAAAGCCTGCAGCAGGCGCAAAACGTCACGCAACTTTTGGCCACAACGCGCCACGTGCTGCAGCTCCGCCTCCACGTTGCTAATCATGAAGGTGTAATGGTGCATAGGACCGGCAAAGTTGCCAATGGTCTGACCGGCAATTTTTACGGCCGGCACAAAGTCAATGGAAAATGTGCGAAGATGCGAAACCGCTTGGATCGTATAGGCCACGCCGCGCCAAAAGTACTTCAGTTGGTAGTCCTCGTAGATGCCGTGAACCACATTGCCGTAGTTGTACAAGGCATTCGTAAAAATCCTATTTATCCAGCTCCTTAGCTTCGACTGGGACATGATCCTGCCCTTATTGTTGGCCAGGCGATTGGCTATCATACTATCGCTGCAAGCCTGTGAAAAGTCAAGGAACACAAAACCCGGCCGTTTGACGTCTTCCACCTGTTTGATGCGCGTGTACGCCGGAAAGCGCAGCTCCATCAAACATCCGCTTCATCGTCGTTATAGATACGCACTTTATGGGCCAAGCTGCCTGAGAAGGGGGAGTGAGATACTAGTCTAAGCTTGTTGCTAATCAAACTCCATTTCCATACTACTCACCAAATAGGATATCATTTTTGCATATGCTATTAAAGTAGGACTCCTGCAGGCGCAGTATTTTAAGCACATAATTCTTCACGGCCTTGAAGTCTTTAATGTTGCTAGGATCGTTTGGATTACGGATATCCTCGGCAATTTCTTGCAGATAACATTCAAAGTTGGACATTTCGATTTAGTTCTCTGAGGAAATGGCAGAATGAAAATAGTTACTAATACTATTACTATGTTTCGGACAGCAGCTATACATATGTACATATACATAGTTGTATATACCAATAAGTAATTATATGATATAGGGAATATTCACTCTAGAAAGTAATTGTTAAAGGACTGGGAAGCAAGCTTTCAAGTTACATATAATGTATGTATGTATGTATGTATGTAAATAAGTTCTGTTTATTTGGCAACTAAATATACATATATACATATGTATGCTCGTATTGAGTAATAAATTGGCACAAATGCTTATACATATGTATATTTGATGGTATGATTTACATATATGCATATGTATATGCTTCCACATATGAACATATGTACATATGTACTCATACAAATTACTGTGTTTTTATATACAGTTTATGTATTACAAATTTGAGCGCAATGATAACTGCATCGAAAAATCCGAACGCTGTTGACCAGCAGCGCCGGGACATGTTTGGTCCGCTTTGGCATACAAACAGGCATTACATACATACATGTACATGCGTGCACATACTACTTGTATGTGCATACGTGTATGTACTACAAATACATATGTACGCATTGTATATAGGTACACACGCAAAGCGCTTGGCTATGCCGCAGTTCCCGTCCCGGACATCGTTTATCGATTTGCGAAAAGCAACAACAACACCAACAGCAGCAGCCACAACAAAAACAACAACAACAACCACAACAACAGCAGCAGCAGTAAAAGCTCAAAATAACGGCAGCGGCAGCAGCAGCAGCAGCAGCGGCGGCGGCGGCGGTGACTGCGCCAGCAACTTCGTCGCTCTTTGTAGGCCGCGCCGCTTTAACATGATAGCGAAACCCCAAACACAGCACCAGCAGCAGCAGCAGCAGCGGCAGAGAATCGGCAGAAACAACAACATCAGCAGCAGCGACTAAAGCAAAAACAACAGCGCACACACACACACAGACAAATACACGCGCGCGCTCACACAATACATATAGTCATGCACACACACATACGTCCACACGCCCATGCACAGTGCCATGCCCCCGGCTTCACACCGCCGCCGCACGCAAACGCCCCACGCCCCACACTCCACGCCTCTCGCACAGCTGCCCCCTGCTTTAGCCTGCCCGGCCGCTCAGCCATTCGCCGCTAGTAAAAGGGAGAACARTAGAGTGTGAGTGAGTGAGAGAGATATATAGAGAGAGTGAGAGAGGGGGCAGATAGGCGGGCGGAAAGGGAAAAGGGGGACGCGGCTGCCGGGCTTTTGATGGCAACGATGATGACGATGGGAACTGGTGACTAGGCATGGGGCGGCCACAAGGACGCGGCAGGCGGCTCTCACTCAGTCGGGTGGGGGCGCTGGAATCAAGAGGCGTGGCAGAACGGGGGCGAGCTGGCGGTGTGCGGCAGGCACTCGCAATAGGAGCTGGTAAAAGGAAGGTGCTTGCTGGCTGCCGCTGCTGTTGCCGTCGCTGTCGCCGCTGCCGTCGTCGTCGTCGTCGTCGTCACCGTCGTTGGCTGAAGCACGGGACATAGAGAAAAGCGAAAAAATATAATAAAAGCAACAAAAACGCGCACAAGCTGAAGAGATACAAACATACACACACACAGAGCTGCATGGATGTATGTATGTATGCATGTGCTTGTATACGTATGTATGTATGTATATGCAGGCGGGTCGACGTCTACGTGTTAGTTTGGGCCACGCTAGTCCGCCACACAAACACAATCATATACACATACACACACACATATACGCACATACTATAGAAGGAGCTGTGCGGGCGGGACGCAGTGCTTGGGAAGGGAACTGGTCGTAGGTTCGCTACAGTCGTCGCAAGCCAACAGCAGCAGCAGCAGCAGCAGCGACAGCAGCTGAGTGGGCCAAGTGTGTGGCGCTGGCTGAGACGACGACGACGGCAACAAAACAACTTGAAAAAGGAAAAGAGCCGCAGCAAGAGCTGTTGGGGATGTGGCGGACCGAGGGGGCGGTGGTTCGGGCACAAAATTCTACAACGTTGCTGCCTTGAATCGATGGAAACAATTTGGGATGCTGCTCACCAGTGGCAGCGGCAAATGGCAACGGCAACAGCAACAGCAGCAAACGACAACGGCAACGTCAGCGACGGACGGCCGTTCGCTCGTCTTGCTCGTTCACTCGGGCCGCAGTCAAAGCAGCTTATGAAGAGACGAGAAAAGGGAGATGGCAAAATTAAATGCGAGTCAACGCAGCGACGGCGGACCCAGCAGCAGCGACAACAACACTCAAAAACAAAGCTGAAGAAAAGCAGAAGAGGCAGAAGGCAAAACGGCAGCAAAAGTTATTTAACAACAACAACAACAACAACAAGAGTTGCCGTGTTGCAAAAATACAAATCACAAGCAGAGCCAGATGCAGAGGCAGCGGGAATATGTAGAGAGTGCGAAACGAAAACAGAGCGCAACGGAAAGCAAGAGAGCGCCAGAGAGCGGCGAGAGGGCGGTGGCCACAGCAAGCAACTGATAAGAGCGGTGACAGCGCTTGAACTTTACAACAAAAGCATTTAGACATCGGAAGCAGAGCAACAATGAGTGCATCACGATGAGCAACGATCACTGCGAACAGCGGGTGTCAAAATCGATTGCGAGCCAAATATATAAACAATTACATATACATATATACGTATGTGTGTGCATACATAAGTATGCTAAGTAATGACCTTGAACTTCAGTTTCTGCAATCTCAATGCCAACAGCCGTTGCCGTTGAATGAAGGTGCAACAGTTTTACAGCATTCATGTGTATGCAATGTCTGTGTAAATAAGCTGTATTAAGCCAGTCGCTGAATGCTACACGAATGTGAGCACATAAACATACATACATATGGTTTGGCTTGGYTTGAGTTTGAAAAGATCTGAGCTTTGACAGAGAGCTTTTAGAGTTCACTTAAACTGCATAATCGATTGAGAACATCCGTTAGAAAAGCTTTTCGCATGCGAAGAGAAGGAGGGAGCGAGCACGCAATACCGCGTGCAGCAACAAAATTGTCGATAGATAAACATCTTTTGATTTTCACTTTCTTTGCAGGTAAACTTAATGCGGGTAATTCTTAAAACAAATGGCAAAGCGGTAAACAGGATACGACTGAAATTTAGTTTAACTAATGCTAGATCTTCTGGTCAATGTTCGACGAAATAATATTATACAAGTCCCCTAAACAGGACCCCGCACTGTAATAACGTATCGCGGGGAGTGGAAGAGTGGGGTGTGTTTTCAGTGCGAAACTCGTCAGTTCTGGCATGTTAGTTGTACGCTCGCACATGCATACATATACATGCATAGCACACACATACATACAAACATATATATATATATATACATATATACAGAAAGGCATCATCAAACAACAAAAACAAACTGAAACGGCAGCAGCAACAACAATAACAAACTCATGCTTTTGCCTTGTGGGTCGCGGCGACAGCAACGGACGAACGTAGTCATGAAATTGAGTTTGCTTTGTTGTTGTTGTTGTTGTTGCTGCTGCTGCTGCCGTTCGGTTCCGCACAGCAGCGGGCGTCGAATGTGGGCGGCTAACAGAAACGTTGGAGCGGCGCTGTGGCGGCGGCAATGGCGTCGCAACCGTTGCGCGCTTATTGCGAGCGCCAAACTGCGCTGTCGCTATGTGTCCCGGCTCAGTGTGTGTGCGTAAATGTGTGTCTATGTTTGTGTGTTTTTATTTGTGTCGGTGTGTATTTGTATGTGTGTATGTGTTCATGTCATGGGGCTGGCTGCCTGCCGCCGTTGCTGCTGCTGCCGTTGAACGCCAACGACGACTCCAACGAAAACAACAACAACAACAACAACAGCTACGGCGACGACGACGACGACGACGTCGACTACAATGATGATAATGATGACGATGATGTTGTGCTGCTTCTTGTTCTTCTTTACACGTCCTCCAACGACGGTTCGCCTCACTGTCGCTTCGTTCGTACGCTGGCGCGTTGCTCTTACTGTTCTTGTTGTTGCTGTTGTTACTGTTGTTGCTGTTGCTGTTGCTGCTGCTGCCCTGCTTGCCTGCCTGCCWGGCTGCTGTCGCGTCGCTGGCGCCGCTGCTTGCTGCGGTCTCTGCTTTTGCTGCTGCTGCGGCTGCCGCCGCTGCCGATGCCGATGCCTCTGTTAGGTTGTGTGCATGCAGCTCATGTGCGCTCTCCTCATTCAAGTGTCCAACTTTTGTCGAGGCGGTCATACAAAACGGCAGTCGCTCGTTCGTTCGTTCGCTGGCCTCTCACTGTTTGCCGTTGTTCACTGTTCGCAGTTCGCTCGTTGCCTGTACACTTCGCCTTGCCTCTGTTCTTTGCCGTTCGTTCGGAGGGGGAAGGCGCTGCTGTGGTCGTGGTCTTGCCGTCAACGGTCAATAGCGCGCCCACACGCCTATAAAAAGATTTCTGTTCGTGTCGCTTGTACATGTGTGTGTGTGTGTGAGTGAGTGCGTGTGTGCGTACGTACGAACGCAAGCGTATTGGTGAAAACTGTTAAAGCGTCGCTGCAAAAAGGTTTTTTGAAAAACCGTTAACGCTAAACCATGAAGGAAATGAAAGTGGCTCGAGCGATTAGCGAGTCCTCCACAACCTCCGATAATACATCCGATTTCATTGATATTGTCAAGAAGTACGATGTCGTCTACAATAATCACAATCCTGATTATAAGAACGTCGAGGTGAAGATGAAGGTCTGGACACAAATAGCGGACGAGATTGGATTATCAGTGGGTAAGGAGCCAACAACAAAAAATAGCGGTGCAAAAAATTAAGGGAAGAGCAACAACAAAACACACGGCAAATACACACACACACATACACACTTAGAAATCTACGAGAGAAAAAAAAAAGGAAGTTGTGTGGCGGCGGCGGTAACAGAGAACCGCTGCGGCCGCCTGTTCGCTTAAATTCAATTACTACGTGCAAGGCACACAGTCAAATACATACATACATATATGCATACACATACACACTTGTACATACTGCGAAACTCGCACACTCAACCAGCGGCCCGCGTCGCACGGCGAAGCGGACAAATGCTCTGCTGTCGCGGCGTCGCTGCGACGACGAACCGCCGGCCGTTTTATTTTGTGTATGTGTTTCTGTATATATGTATTCTGTATGTATGTGTGTGCATGTGTAAGAGTGTGAGCGCGCCTACAGATGATTGTATGCGGGGGCGAGTGCGGTGCGGCTGGCATGGCGCTGTGCAGAACGCGGCCGCGGTCGGCGAATTGCAGTGAGAGACAAAAACAAAAACAAGAAAAGCAGCCCTTGCATACCAACAAACATATACCCTACAGCCCAATTCTTTTACATTTTCTGTACAATATGCAAAAGTCGCTATTATAAGAGAACCTAAAATATATTATAACACACAAATACATATGCATAGCCATCTAAATCTAGTTGTTGTTACAAAACTGACATTAAACGATTTAATAATGCATCATTGTCACAAACCAGATGGCAAAATTAGCATAGCTCTGGTAAGAGCATAATGAAAACACGAACGCGCAGAAAAGGCAAACAAAAACATAAGAGCGAAACTGATACAAGCTGCGCGCTCAGTGGTGCTGTTATTGTTATTGTTGCCAGTGCGATGCTGAGAGAGAACTTAACGTCACCCAGTTTGACGCATGCATGGATCTGAGACTAGGATAATAGAAGCACTGTCAAAATTAGTCACAAAAAAACGAAGCCAAAAAGAAATAACTGCTTTGCTAATTTCTTTGTCTATGAATGTAATAATGTACATATACAGTCAGAATTAGGCGTACGTGAAGTAATTCAGTTTTCTGCAACAACATTAACTGTGACACCCTGTTGCTTCTGCGCATCTCCTCTCTCTCTCCCTCTCTCTTACTGTCCTTCATACTCTCACGGACGTTTCGCCTTCTCCCATTTGGGTTTCTCGAATGTCAGCATAAAAACAAATGCGGACGCAAAATTCTGTTGGCAGTTTGTTTTTGTTGCAGGCAGACCAATTGGTCGCTGTTGCATTTCACTTTCATTAGGAGTTTTATCATAAGTTCTTATTGTGAGTGAAATTTTAATTAATGGAAAAGTAAGTTTTAAATTATTTTGCATAATTGCAAATGCACCAAGGTATTCAAACTGAAAATATTTACTATTAGAATATGTACATATATACATGTATGTACATGCATATTATTATACATAAATATGCACATGTGTAAATGCTTGTATGTACGTATTCAACGCCAGTGAAAATTAGGAAGCTTAATCAGAAGCTGCTACCACTAACGATATTCCAGTAACATTTACATTGTATGCACACACCTACATATGTATATGTATACGTACCTACACTTTTATGTTTGTGTTATTTATTTATTTGCGATCCCACTTACTCTACACTTTCAATTGACAATTGCGCATCACTCGCAATATAAAGCCGGCACCCGTCCACTTCGATCGACAGAACTCGAGCGACTAAAGTATAAAGAGGAACAATGCTTTTTCTGTGAAACAGAAGCTTAGGAATAAAACACGATTGAGTGATAGTGTGTCTCTTAACAGTGGAGCTACGCAATCAGGGATGCCAAGTCAAAATTTGAAAATTACGTAGCCAGGCTACAAAATCTACGTGTTTTTTCGTAGCGCAATGTTGCTGAAATACGTAGATCTACGTACTTTTTTTAAGCAATAAATAAAAAATGAATAAACCATTAAATTTGTAAATTAACTGTATTGTACTTCGTCGTTATTAATTTCATTTGTCGTTTTAGAAAGCAAATTACATTATTCAAATTATACATATTCATTTATGTATGTACATGTTTTACAAAAATGTATACATGTTTCGATTTAAATATTTCAGGTGTTTGTCAGAAGTCTCTAAGTTTTCTTTTAATCCACTTTTGGTGTGAAGCAAGCCTTTTAAAGTCTCCGTGTCTAATTTGTTTCTGTTATTTGTCTTAATTACATTAATTGCTGAAAATAAACGCTCAGCATTAGCACTTCTATGTGGCAAAATAAGCATATTTTGCGTTAACTCCGTCAAGATGGGAAACATGTGGGTTGAACTTCCCTTTTTTACGTTTGAAACATAACGCCAAAAGTCGTCTGGCAGTACGGATTACTCTTGGTTGGAGTTACGTTTGCTTCTTCGTCGGTGTCACTTGTNTTTTTTCTCTCCAATTTTTAGCCCAAATTCTAAAGCCCAAATTCTAAAGTAAGCGATGCCGATCTTTTTCAATTTAGTGCTGCTAACCCATTGAAAACTGCATTCGTAAACATATCGAAAACGAAATTTAGTGCGGCTAACCCAATATAAACCATATTATCCTTTTTATTTAATTCATAATATATTGATATTACCCAAAAAATTTTGCTTTTAGTGTATTTTGCAATATTTTTTAAAAGTACGTAGTTTTAATCTCATCGCACGTAGGCACGTAGATCTCCTTTAAAATACGGAGATCTACGTCCAAAGACGGAGGGTTGGCATCCCTGTACGCAATTAATATTGTGCCTTTTCACTCAAAAATGAGATAGCATATGTACGTATGTATATGTAACGCGTATATATGTTTGTATATAGAGTATTTTGATATTGCAGGCAAGAGAAGCTGGACATACAATATGAATTGATTACCAATGAATTTCTTATAACAAATTTACGACATATGTACATATAATATGAAATTGAGAAACTTAAGTCACGCTTTAATCATCGCAACAAACGCTCATCTCTGAGAACGCAGTTGTTGAGATTGGCTAGAAATATGATTTACGTATTGAAGTGGAAATGGATATATGAATGAATGTATGTACACATACATATGTATGTATAGGCCTGTTATACTGCTTTGTATACGACATACATACATTTTTGTGTGCTTAAGTGTATGAGTATATTATAAGGCGTATTCCTAAGCATAAGTGGATCATGTCATCATCTGTACATCTGTAAGTATGTACATACAGTCCATTGTGTGCATACATACATACATACATACGTAATTTTTATTTGTATGTGTTCTTTTATGGTCTTCAAATGACAGCTTAAAACCCAGAATATGATGAAAGATGATGAATCAATACACATACAAACATGTACATACATATGTATGTATGTATTTAACTAGATGGCCTATAACACATCAAATCCATAAATTTTTCAGTCTGACTGCACAATAAAAGTATGCAATTAAAAACTTTTAAGAAATAAACACATACATACATACATATGTACATATTTTGTATGTATGCATTATACAGTTGTTTTTTGTTATTTTTAAAATCGGTGTGCCCGACTAGGTCCTCTAAATCCCGAATGATCTGGATTAATTAATTATTTTTGTAAGACAACAATTAAACAAACATACTACAATTAAAATATTAAAATCTCTCACTTATTATTATTATTATTTATTTTTTAATGTTAAAGAAGAAAAATATGAATAATTTCTTTTTCCATGTGAAAACACTTTTGTCAAACTGTATTTTTTCTTCGCTTGTATTTCCAACTTTAAAACTAATTGAAAATCTTTGTTTACATTTTACAGAAGCTTCGAAGCGAAAATGGAAAAACCTTCGCGACAGTTATACGAAATATCTGCGTTCCTTTCGAGTTGGTACAAAAACATCAAAGAAATATCAGTATTGGGCGCACGCGGATCACATGGAGTTCCTCAAACCGTTCCAGGGACCTGGCAGGTGAGTCTCCTGCACAAGAATTCCCATGGGCCAGTCGAATTGAACGTTCGCATCCTCCACAGAAACTCGGCGAATGGCAATGGCAAGTCGAACGATGAGGATGACAACGAATGCGACTTTGGCTACCAGGTGCTGGCCAAGGCGGCCAGCAATGGAGGAGAGGATGACCTGAAGATTACCATTGCCACGGCGACGGCATCCACCTCGGCGCTCAGCACGCAGACCGTGAACAGTTATACGACGCCGATACTGACGCCCAGCGTGGCCGCCACGCCCCCCAGCCTAGTCTCGCCCGGAGCGCTCAGCAACTCCGGCGCGGCGCCGCAGAACCACAATAGCAATAGCAACGGTAGCAGCAACTGTGCTGCGGTGGCCCCTCTGACGCTCAGCTCGATGACGCCGCCGGCCGCCAACTGCAGCAACAGCAGCTCCAACAGCGGCATCCTCCCTCTGCCCGCCCTGCCCCTGAGTGCCGGCAAGAGCTCTGTCAGTGCCAATGCCGCTGCGCTGGCCACCCTAGCCAGCCTGCCCATGGGCATCGGCGGACTGCCCGCTGCGGCTGCGGCCCAGATGTTCACGCTGAAGGCCGCAGCGGCTGCCGCCGGACTGCCGCTGACGTCGACGGCCAACTGCAGCACCGCGAACAATGTGGGCTGCCTGATCATCGAGCCGCATCTGTTCGCTGCCGCGGACAACTTCAAGAAGGAGCTGAGCGCAGCGGCGGCAGCTGGTGCGCCGCTGGGTCTCTTCCAGAATCTGGCCAATCGGCACAATCTGAACGGAAATGCGACGACTGCAGCTCTGGGGCTGGGCAATCCGACGCCACCGCCGCCCCCACCGGCGGCGCCACCCAGCTCTAAGGTGAGGCGAGTGCAGCCATCGCCACAGACAGCTGCCATTAACCTCAGCTGTACAAGCTCCAATACAAGCGCAACCTCAGCCAACTGCTCCCAGCCCTCGCCCGCCAAGACGCGCAAGATCAGCGATCCGCGCTTCCCCAGCGACTGGGACGTGTCCGCTGTGCTGCAGGCCAATCGGGAACTGGACGCGAATACGCTATTCTTCTTGAGTCTGGCGCGGCAGGTGCGCGCCATGCCCATGAAGTTCCAATCGCTGGCCAAGATGCGCTGCATGCGCATCGTCAGCGACATCGAGCTGGAGCTGGAGAACTTCGACTGCAATGGCGTGGTGCCGCCCGAGGAGTCGGGCAGCACGGCAAACCTCAAGTACTGCACCGACACACCGCCGCCCCAGCAGCCAGATGGCTCCACGCTGAACGCACCCGCTGGCGGCGGAATGGTGCCCGAGGGCTCCACGGAGCACTTTGTATATGTGATGTCGCCGTCGCGCGTTGAGAGCATGATAGACATCTCATCGGATGAGGAGAGCAACATGAACGGAGGACTACCGCCTGCAGCTGCTGGTGCTGGCCTCTCCACTGCTGTGGCCACCGGAGCTGTCCACTGAGAGCGCTGTCCTCCACTTCCACCTCCATCTCCAGCTATCTTATAACCACTTACAAAGCGTATTGTTAAACTTAAGTAAACTTAAATTAAATACATTAAAGTACAGTTTGTCGTCTTAGTTGTTGTTGTTGTTTGGACTCGGAACAATTTATTTACACGATTCTCGTACTATATGAAGCTTAACGATATGAAAATGGTGAAAATCTCAGTGGAATCTGGTACATGAATCGCGGATAATGTCGTTAATTTGTTACTACTTGGTATGGTGAATGAATTTCATTCAGGAAGTTGATGCACATGCTCCACTTTACGACTGCACCTTGCTCTTGGTGGTGAAGGCGAAGTAGGCAACGCCGCCGACCAGCACAGCGGCGAGCAGCTCAGCCTTGATCCAGGGTCCCTTGTAGGCGCTCTTTGTGGGCACGGTGATGTCCAGCAGAGATTTGACGGAGGAGACCTTGTCACCATCGCGCTGTGCCTTGCGCACATTGGCATAGCCGTCCTCGTCGAAGAGACGCACCAGCACATTGCCGCTGCTGCCCTGCTTGATGTCCTCCACCCAGCTCACCTGCAATACGCATCAGATTAGGTGAGACTTTGAACAATAATAAAGGGGGCAGCACTCACCTGGTATTTGCTATCGCCCACCTTGGCGACGGGCACAACCTTGCCGCAGGGGAACTCTGCGAACAGGCTGGGCTGCGCCGAGTTGCTGCACTGCAAGGTGAACTCGGCAACATGAGCCAACTGCGTCAGAATTGTTGCGTCCTGTGTGCTGAAGGCGGTCAACGTGGCCTTGCAGCTGGCCTGGGCGCCCGTGGCGCAGGCGAGCGCAATCAAGCAGAGCACGAGTGTTTGGCGTTGCATTATCACCGTGATTTTTTTAGTGTTTAATTAAATAGTGTATCAAAAGTCCGACGTACGACTCAAACCCAAAGCGGCGGCAGCTACTTTCTATGTCTATCAACGCCACGACAGCAAACGTCACTTGACAGCCGACGGCTACGAGACGTCAGCAGCGAACGTCACTTTACAACATTGTCAGGGCTGACAAATGCGGTGGCAGCAGAAAGCTCAGCGCTACGATTGATGCATCGTGTAGCAGGCAGCTTACTGTTGTGCGATATTTTAAAATTATTTGTCGTTAAAATTTGATATTAAGAAACTAATAAGCTAAATATAATTATTTATATATAAAGGATAAATAAGTAACGGTAAGCTATAATATTAAAGGCTTTATATAAAGTAAATAAACATGAAATGCCAATCAAGCGCATTAGGGGAATTTTCGCGTATAAAATTATTATTAAAGAAGGCATGACCATATACGACGATTTGAGTAGATCTCTGTCAGATCTGTGTAAGAAGTTAGTTACCCTGTACCTGGGAACTAATTCTACATGTAGCTCCGTCCTCTTATAATCGAAAACCTTTTCCATTTACACAAAGTCGATCGAACTGCAAATATTTCAGAGCAAATCTATTACACCTATAAGGTTTTAATCCCCAATTCAATTTCTCATAAAGCTTATACAATTTATTTAACTATTTAACCTTTTTATATACGAAATATCTATATGAAATTCTTCACGTAGCTGAGCTACGGTAGCTCCGTTCTTAGCTAGCGCTGAGCACATATTAGCTAAAAAATATATTACGAAAATCAATTGTAACTGTAAAATTTTAAATAAATCTTTAAAAAAGTATACAACAAAGTCTTAACATAATAATCAAACAACAAAAATAAATAAATAAAAAATTAAAGTCGAGAATGA